GATCCGCCTAGTCAAAGCCATGGTATTCCCTGTAGTAACATACGGATGTGAGAGCTGGACCTTAGGGAAGGCCAAGTGAAGGGAGATGGATGCTTTTGAGCTGTGGAGGAAAGTGCTGAGAGTGCCTTGGACTGCGAGAAGATCCAACCAGTCCATCCTCCAGGAAATAAAGCCCGAATGCTCATTGGAGGGAAGGATACTAGAGACAAAGTTGAAGTACTTTGGCCACATCATGAGGAGACAGGAAAGCCTAGAGAAGACAATTATGCTGGGGAAAGTGGAAGGAAAAAGGAAGAGGGGCCGACCAAGGGCAAGATGGATGGATGGCATCCTTGAAGTGACTGGACTGACCTTGAAGGAGCTGGGGGTGGTGACGGCCGACAGGGAGCTCTGGCGTGGGCTGGTCCATGAGGTCACGAAGAGTCGGAGGCGACTGAACGAATGAACAACAACAACACACACATATATACATATATACATATACATACACACACACACACACAATTTAAAAATAAAAAGAGAAAAAATGTATATACCTTATATACTTTAGTATAAGTCGAGTTTTTCTGCCCTTTATTAAGGCTGAAAAAGCCCCCCTCGGCTTATATTCAAATGAGGGTCCTGGTTGGCTTGTATTTGGGTCGGCTTATATTTGTGTCTGCTTATACTTGAATATATAGGTAATTAGAGTTGGACACTCTTATCTTAAATTACAGTTTTAATATTCAAAATATTAAATATTCAAAAACATTTAACCTACTTATGCCTCAATTAATGTAATTTTATTGGTATCTATTTTTAGTTTTAGTTTTGAAATTGACCAGTAGCTGCTGCATTTTCCACCCTTGTCTTATAAGTTTTAATAAGTTTTCCCAGGTTTTGTGGTAAAATTAGGTGCCTCGGCTTATATTCGAGTCAGCTTATACTCAAGTATATACGATAATCGCCCTTGTCCCCTATGATCTACATTATCCCTGTAGCTGGCATACTTATTTGCCACCACATCCCCATTTTGGTTAAGGTGGGCAAAGGAAGGTTGTAAAACAAGCAGCTAATTCCCTATTATTATTATTATTATTATTATTATTATTATTATTATTATTATTATTATTTATACCCCACCTTTTTCTCCCCACAAAGGAGACTCAATGTAACTTATATTAAAAGCATTTTAATACAGTTTAAAATCTACAAACATTAAAACATTAAATATCAATTGTATTAAAATCCACAGTTAAAATCCATAAAAATCCATATGATAAAAGCATATTCAAATCTAAAACCACAGCACCCCCTGACTTGATTTTTAAAACCTTTTTCTTTAAAAGCCTGCCTGAATAAAAAGGCCTTTTCCTTGGCTGATGTGAGCCAGCAATACAGGACATGAAGCAACTGAAGTTCAGGTTGGGCATCTCTTATCCAAAATATTTTGGATTTTATTTTATTTTGGAATACCTATTCTTGTCTATATGTCTGTAATGAGTTATCCTGGAGATAGGACTTTGTTCCAAATATGAAATTAATTTATGTTTCATGTACACCTTATACACATAACCTGAAGGTAACTTTGTACAATATTGTCATGCATAACACAAGAATTTATTTAAACTGAACCATCAGAAACGTATCAATATTTCAGATGTTCATATGGACAGGTTTGCAGTTTTAGAGTATTTTGGATTTTGGAATTCTGGTTAAGGGGTGCTTCACCTACGCTTCATTGCTCCCCAGAAGACCAGTCAAGGATTATTCTATCTGAGGTCCCTTCCACACTATTATATAAAATCCAGATTTCCTGCTTTGATCTGGATTATATGGCAGTGTAAACTCATATAATCCAGTTCAAAGCAGATAATGTGTATTATCATTTTTGATAATCTGGATTATATGGCAGTTTAGAAGGGGCTTGAAGTGGCCCCAAAAAAGCCAAAACTGAATTCACCTAGTTTTGAAATTTCTACTTTATGAAATGTCAGGTTCAAAAATATTTAGAATTGCCATGGAGCCTCGCTTATCCAACATAAATGGGCTGGCAGAACGTTGGATAAGCAAAAATGTTGGATAAAAAGGAGGGATTAAGGAAAAGCCTATTAAATATCAAATTACGTTATGATTTTACAAATTAAGCACCAAAACATCATGTTTTACAACAAATTGACAGAAAAAAACCAGTTCAATACACGGTAATGTTATGTAGTAATTACTGTATTTACGAATTTAGCACCAAAACATCACAATGTATTGAAATAGCTATGGATCTGGGTGGGAGACAATGCATTGGATAACACAGAACATTGGATGAGTGAAGGTTGGATAAGTGAGACTCTACTGCATTAGGAAACAAAATTGTTTTGTAGAGAAACTCTGTACATTTTTAAAATGCTGTGCCTTCATGTTGACTTCAATTATGATGTTGTCTTGGCAAAAAAAAGGAAAAGAGAAATTTTGGTCAGAGGTGGGCTGCCATTGTTTTTGTCATATAATGTCATCATATGGGCTGAGTTGCCTGTCATACACCAATTTGCCTAAGGGCTGAGAAGAGCGGTATACAAATAAAGTAAATAAATAAATAAATAAATTCCCCCTTTCGCCACGGAGCCCATTGCATGACGCACATCTACTTCCGGCCAGGCTTTGTGGTGAAAGGGGAGAGGAAGCAGCGTACGATGGGCAAGTCTGCACGTATGATGAGTTTGTATGACACGAAGCTTCCTATTGCAAAGTTGCCTTTGCTACAATGGGGGGAGGTAGGTGGTGGGATGGAGCCTGTAGTAAGTCAAGTGATGTGGGACATGGGGCGACATGTTCTCCCCATGGATTTGCCATTATGTGTGGTGAATCTCTCACTTACTGTGATAAGATACTTGGAGTCAAAGAGTGCAATTGTCAACATCATCTATAGGTTTTCACCTCTTTGGAAGGATTTGAGACTTGGTATCCTGATGTCCCTGTCCAGCAATCAAACCATTGCAACATGCTAGTTCTCTAGACCAGATGCTGGACATTTGTTTATTTTGTTGTTAGTTACTGTGGCTTCAAGTCAACTCTGATTTATGGCAACCTGACTGTAGAGTGTCTTGGAAAGTTTTATTTGGTTCAACAACCAAACCAACCAAGGGCTCATTTATGGGAGAAAAAAATTGATAAAAAAGAGCTTAATAAATTAAGAGAGG